TTACACACTCAATATCTCTCTCTCTCTCCCTCTCTCTCTCTCTCTCTCTCTCTCTGCTTCTGTTGCCTCTTTGCCTCTCTCTCTGCTTTGATGTTGTTTGTTTAATTAATATGACTCATTTAAAGCATTTCACTTATTTAATTGTATATCTTCTTCTTATTCAGTTGTTGTTGCTGCCAGTGGGCTCAGAAAATGTTTTTCCTGTGCGCTTTTATTGATTAAATGCCAGAGTTATTTTCGCCCCTTTTGAAGGCGCTGCTATAAATAAGAGGCAAATTCTCTCGGATTATGGCACGACTTGTCCAGCAGCACGCACACACACACACACACACACACACACACACGCCCACATTTACTAAAGTTCAATGACTAGCAATAACGAAGCGTCATTCAAGCGTGAATTATTGTCAAGGACCCCAAATGGGCTGAGGAAAACGCTGTCAGGATGATTGCCGCAGAGATGTTATGGCTATGCCTGGTGGCGGCAGGAGTTTCGGATAGCCGGCAGGCCGGCAGCGCAGCTTAGCGGAAATGTGACAAAAGTGCTTCAGCAAAGGGTTCGACTTAGGTGGTTGAATGCCAGGACGGCAACTGGCAACCAACCAATGCCAGCTACTGCGTGCGACCCACTGCGTGGAGAGCAACAGTTGATTGCCATCAATGGGAATTATGTAAATCAAATTGTCCACGCATTACTTAGAGTGCATATTGTCGGGGCGACGTCTCCAATTGGGTGTGAAAATTGATTGAATTCGCTGCCGCCATATGAGCAGCCAGATAGTTCCACTTGCCAAAGCCGCAAAAACAAAGCATTAAGCATAAAACCCAATGAAACAACAACTAGAACGCTTTTTCGAGGCGCCAAAAAGAAAAGCATATAAGAGCGCTCTAGTTGGACCTGTCCGACTAGAAAATACCTTGCATCCTGCAATAAATGATTATTTCAATCATTTTTCATGGATAGCTTTGCTGGTATTACATGTGGATCAAACGAAATTAAATAATCGAGTTCGATCGATAAGAAGATGGGATGCTTTGCTTATAGATGGTTTTACATGTGGATCAAACGAAAATAAATAATCGAGTTCGATCGATAAGAAGATGGTTTTACATGTGGATCAAACGAAATTAAATGATCGAGTTTGATCGATCGATGGTTTTACATGTGGATCAAACGAAATTAAATGATCGAGTTTGATCGATAAGAAGGTGGGATGAATTATGGAAAATGCACGGACAAATGGACAGATAGCCAAACGGCCCGACGTACAAATCCTTATCGCCTCACCATTTTATACCTGTTACATTCATTTCTACAAAACCAGTATACTCTGTTTTCCCAATTGAAATGGGCTTAGAGTATAAAATCTTGATTATAATTTTAAGTATATTTAGGCTGAGTGCGTGTATTCTGTTCCGTGTCTTAAATCTTTTAAGACGACACGTTAACACAGTCTTAACAGCGATATTTATCGACTATGTGGGAATATGTATTCTCAGTTGAAAGGCAAAAAATATTTTTGCCTTTAGAAAATCGATTTAGGTACACAGTCAATCGAGATCTATTTTAAACAAAGTAAGGGATCAATTACTTTCGAAAACTCAATAGGCTGATTTTTGCAATTATTGTTTACTTTTCAATTAGGTATGTATGTGTGAGAGCCTATCTGGCAATTATGAATTTCTAATAAGTGCAATTATAATATAATGAAAATAATAAAAGCAACAACACTATAATTAATCAAAGATTGAAATCAAAAGTTCTTTTCAGTGGGTCTTCATCAATTTCCGGAGAGTTCGCATGGTTCTTCAACAATGTCGCAAGCAGGGACATTTACAGTCTTTGTCATTTCCTTTTGGAATCCGACGTCGCCGAATTATTAGAGTCCTCCTCTTGGGTTTCTGCGGTAGATTAGGAATTCTAATTTTTGGTGGCAAACGAGGGATCTTACATTTGATGGGTATTCTCTTACAGTTTTGTCCACAGGGCCTCAGGCCAGGCCTTTTTGGTGGAACGGGAGACTTTTTTGGTGGAACACAAGGCTTCTTTGGTATAACTATTGGTATCTTTGGGATAGTACAAGGCTTCTTTGGTGGACCTGGAGGTTTTCTTGGTGGA